CTAATCAGTATATATTCTTATCAATATTACTATTTAGAGGATTTTCCTCTTAAAATAAGAAACTCTTCTTGGCGCCTATTTTAGTATAAAATATACTTAAAGTAAGTGGGATATCCTCAAAACAAGAATACAATTTTTTCGGTGTGTAGATGATTTTTTTAGGATTTAGATTTCTTCCAGAGAGTTACAGATTGATTAATTACTCAGCTAAAAAATTTAAAATTGTTAGAACTCATTTAGAACCGTCAGACGAGAGAATCCGAGAGAAACCGACAATGGCATCAAAGTCTGTGTTTTTTTTTTTTTTCGCGCGAGTAATAATTTTCGCGAAAGAGATGACTTTCCCGTCATCATCATCGCGCGACCTTGTTTGAAGTGTCATTTATCTCCCATCGCGGATCTTTCCTTCCTTTTCATCTTCTGATATCGCTCGAGGCGTGCGAGTCAACGAGTCCCGCTTCCTGTATCCGCGATGTCGCGGATACATCTTCTCTCTCCGCTAAGCGGCTCTTCTGCTCATCCTCCAACTGACGCACATGTACATACGTTGTATACACACGTACCTTTCTACCGTTCATTCTTCACTCTTCCTGTCGCTTTCTCTCTCGCTCGCGTGCTCATTCACGGACTTTGTTAGTCGATTATTTGCTTTTTCTCTGTTTCTCTCTCTCTCTCTTTCTCTCTTTCGCCGCTCTCGCTTGCTCAGTCGCTCTTTCTTACCGTAACTCTCTCGTCCTCGTCTTATTTTCCGTTTCGCTTCGTCCCACACGTGCTTCGTCGATGATCTCTCGTCGCCGGGTGCCGTTCGTTCCTCTCGCGCGATCGCGCGCGAGATCCTCTCTCTCCTCTTCCACTACACCTTCCAGCGCCTTCCGTAGCGGGACCTCACGTATGTTCGCGAAGACGACGAGTTCTTCGCCGCTCGCATTCGCGCTCGACATGCCGGATCGTTCGAAATTCGTCAGCAAAAACACGCGAATCGCCGTGCGAACGGGACCGGGTCGCGCGTTTCTTTTGAAAAAAAAAAGTTCGCGATACGTATCTCTTATGTGAATAACGTGTGCTCGCATCAAGTTTCCGTATTGTTGAGGTTCGGAATCACCGTTAAAGAGACGAAAATAACTCTTCTCTTCGTCGGAATTGTGTTATCCGCGCAAGAAAGTTTACTGTGCGCGCGAATAGTCCGAGTTTTCAGGAGACCGACAACTTCTTTTCGTCGTTACTTCAACAGAGATCTTGTAAGTCTTCCATTGATCGAGAGAAGAAGTTTTTAAAAAAAAATAAATAAAGAAGAAATCTTTATGGTGTGATAATTCTCGAGTTTGCACACATATACACGCACACACATATACACACGTACACAAAACTCACATATTAATATATCAAGCATGAGACATCGTGTAATTAGCGTTTCTTAGATAGGAACTTGTTAATTTGCGCCGCGCGAGATGCGGCTAAATAATGCAACAAATAATATAATATGATTCTTTAATTATCTTATAAACTCGGCGCTTTTATCAAGCGCGTGGATTTATGCTAATTCATTACGTATTCTCTTTCATAAATTAATTAGACTAATAACTTTCGAAAGAGATAACATGCAATTTATGCGCTAAAATAAAACTTGATGCGCGTAAACGTGCAAATAATTAAAGTACCTTGTTAATTCTCCTTTGTTCGCGCGATAAATATTAAAAAACATCGCGTTAAAAAAATAAAATGCGTTTAGATTTGTTGAACAGCGCGGCTCACGCATTTATTAACAATTAACAAGCTCGGAATACTTTTTTTTTTTTTTAATTAACGCAATGTGAGCGTCACGCAACATTCGTCGTTAAAATAAATAATTTGTGATTAAATCTGGTAATTATATAACGCTAAGTTTTTGATATTTATTTATTATTCCGATTCAGTTGTCGCAGAATATTTGTTTCATCCCTCTTTCCAAATCTTTCGCGCGACATCCGTTTCTTTTTTTTTCTCTCTCTCTCTTTCTCTCCTCTTGTATGCGAAGTCTGTCGCGCCGTAAAGTCATACGTTTCCAGGAAAGTTACAACAAAATTTGCTAGGCATTCGCGTCTGATGCGAGATTATACGCCGCAGTTCCGAGACCCGAGATGCATCATGCATGGACCTTCTCCATCTCCCCGAGATACACGGGGTGTCGCGTCACTACCGGCAGACGCTTTATTCTGCCGGAGACGCGGTTCGTGTATCAAGAGAACTTGTGTTGCGCACAAGGCACACACCGTCGTGCGGAGGAGAGAAAAGTGGATTCTATTTTTGATAACGTCTGTTTGAATTTTACGTTTTCCTTTCCGTCGCGCGTTCTTATGTTTTATAACGTGTATATAGAGCTCGAGTCGAGGGAGAAACGCGCGCGCGCACACACTTTGTAGCTTGAAGGATTTCACGTATCTCTTTTTTTTTTTTAGATTAAGATTTCCTCTCTCTCGTGAAAAATTTCCGGAGATTAAAACTCTCGGAACGGAGTGGAAAAGAAACAAATTCTCTGCATATATACATATCTTTGCGCGCGTGAATTGTATCAGAGTAAATGATATAATTTTTCGTGTTGTTTGTTTGATTATTTTCAAACAAACTTTGCTGTACAAATACGAAAGTGAGACTTTTTGGTTTTTTTTTTTTTTTAATTAAAACGATGTCTAAACACACTGAAAATCTAGTTACGTATGTATAGGGATAACACAACGAAGCAAAGTTTGTTCTTCCGAAGAAAAATTTTTTCTTCCAAATTCCCCACGGTAACAAAACAATTGTTTCTCATGCCGAGACATCCGGCACGTGCAGCGAGAAGTTCTACGTCGCGATCGAGTTTCGGGCGCTTGTTTCGCTAGAGACAGACGTGCAGTTTTTTAGCGAATTTATGCGAATCCCTCACAGCGCGCACACACACACACACACACACACACACACACACACATATCCCATGTGGATTACGTTGCGACGGCGACCACGTAAAAAAACATTTCGTTTCCGAGGGATTCGGGAAAGGACACATACAGCTCATGGTGAATAATTTGGTACGCAGGTCCGCAAAAGAAGTGGGCCGATCGGCCCTGGAGGCAGTAGGCCAGCCCGTGTTTCGTACTCGAGGGCCAGGCGGAAGACATTTTGCGAGAAGAAGACGCGAGGGGACGCAAACGAGTGCGAGAAAAAAAGAAAGAGAGAGAGAGAGGACAAAGTGGATTTTGCTGGAGGGAAGAAAAGAAAGTTGTAGATCGTTAATCGTCTCTCTGGACGTTCGATAAAAAAAACCAAAAAAAAAAAAAAACGAGAAGAGAAAGAAAAAGAAAGAGAGAGAGAAAGCTCGATCGACGTGTGAGATAATTGCGCGGCGATAATAAAGGTTTAGAGCGGAGTAATAAGCCGATAGATCGAGCGGAATTCAACAAGTGAAGAAACGAGGTTAGAGCGAGCAGCGCAAAAACGTTCGCGCAAATCAAGAATGAAGTGCTCCCGCCTGATGTTTGTTTCTGAGCCGAGAATTGCGAAGAAGAAGAGAGTCCGCGTGGGTGGAAAGAGCGGTTAGAAAATTAGAAACCCCGAGGCGGCCTGCGTTTCTGCGCCGGGGACCAGACGTGCGGAAAATCGTTCGAGGGAGAAGAAAGGAGAAAAGGGGCTAACCTCGTCAAGGACAGGTCGAAGTCAAAGCGAAGAAGAACGAAGGGTCGAGCCGGGGAGAGTAATCAGCATGTGCCGCTCTAATAGGCGCGCGATTATAAAAAGAGTCGATTTTTAAACGTGTCGCTCTTTTATCGTCGACGAACAATTTTAGTTCGCGCGTTTAATATAAAGTGTGAAGTAGCAGAGAAGAAGAAATCATCGCATATATTTCGATGAAAAATAATTGAAATATTAAATTTCCGGGAGTTTAAGTATCGAAATAACGCGAGAGTGAAAATTGATGATGTTTTCAGTTCGAGAGAGTGAGAAGAAGAACCAAGCTGATTAAACATGTGCTAATTAATCCAATTCGCGAAGTGTGCGCGATCCAATCTGCAGGACGCAAATAACCAAGAAATAATATTGACACACAGGCGAGTCCGTACAGATATATATATATATGTGCATATTACATTGATTGATTGAAATAGAAAAAACATCGGAGAAATTACAGCTGTTTGCAGGGGAGAAAACGACGCTGCAACATGTGATTAAAGAATCCGTTCCCGTGGAAGAAACGAACGCGATTTTAGAAATCAGAAACCCGAGAGATTCCAACAAAAGAACACAAAGAGAGAGAGAGAGAGAGAGAGCACGCGTTTGAAATTTTAATTAAAATAAATTTTAATTAAGTTTTTAATTTAACTAGAATGTTAATTGAAGTAATTAAATAGCATCGCGAGGTTCTTGATTAGATGTATAAATTTTCGAAACCGCGTTGCGACCGAATCAATTAACTGCGATATCGATCGAGGAATCTCTCTTGCAAAAAAAAAAAATCGTAACAACCGCGGAAATCGTGGAAACGTTTTGCAATCTCAAACTGCGAATCCGCTTGCGGCGAAAGTGACACACATACGAGGAATCGTCAACGTGACACAGACTCGCCCTCTTGGTTAAGAGTCGTAAGAAATAATTTGTTTAGGAGAATAATCCAAGATAAGTGGGAAGACGCGACGGTTCACGGAGACACACGTACCTGCCGGGTCAAAGATCGCGCATCGGGGACGGAGAGAAAGTCTTGAAAGTATCGGCGAAAGAAAAGCCGCGCCGACAAGTGGATATCTCGAATGGCGGTGTCTTCTTTGAAGGGGCGCGGTTGATTCTTCAAGAGTTGCTGCGACGCTGCTTTAACCCTCGATCCGCGACAGAGAGTAACCAACAAAAAGACCAACGCGGGATATATAACGGGACGAGAGAGATTAGCGTATAGAAGAGATACGGGATCATCCGCTTGGCGGAAAAGATGAGCAGGCAAAGCGTACCACCTCCGGGCATCAATTCCTGCGAGAGGATCAGACCGGAGCGGTCCAGAAACACGATACAGAGACTCGTGTGGGGTCCGGGCTCGCAATTCCAGGTCGGCCACGTCGGAATCCCGGAGGATGACGGCTCGAATCCGCGGATGGCTCTGAGAAGGTTTGTAAGAAAACCGTATTTTGCGCAAGTTATTAAATCTCGCTCGAATAGCTCCTGTCGAATTCCAGTTTCTTTTCGGCAGCGATTTTATCTCGAAAACAAACATATTTTCCGAATCATCGAAATCTCCGAGAGAGCGTGTGTGTCAACTCTTTTTGCGCAAATAAATTATTTCTCTAAATTTCAGGCGCGCAATTTTTCTAACGGCAAATTTGATTGAAACGTGCAAAGCTTTAATTTATTTTGTTTGCTTGAAAATTGACGTTTCCTTTTTTTTTTTTTTTTTTTTTAATATTTGTTTTCAATATATTTTATATAACATCGCACGTGCGAGTCTCTCCTCGTGGTCAATTGTTTTTCCATTTTTGTATCACAGAAACTTTATTTGTAACGCGTAAACTAAAAACACAAACGAACACACACACACACACAGTTTGAGAAATGCTGCGGTAAACTCGAGTAGAAATGTCACGGTACTAATTAATCAGTTTTAATTAACATGACTCTTGGGTTAAGAGCGCATCTTCAAACGCAGCGTTGATTTTCCGTTTCTTGTTCCGTTTTCCGATTTATATCGTTTGATATATAACGAACATACTCCGTCTGCTAATTACAAACGAATGACGAGCTCGCCACAATTACACGTTGTTACTTCGTTACGCCGACTCTTCTCCGCGCTATACCGTATTTGCGGGGGAGAAAGAATTCACGGAAGAATTCTGCGCGCGCGACACAGACAGAGACACAGCTCGCTGTGCGGTTTGTTGTTTATATTACGATATAATTTGGTCGCGCGTCAAATGTGAAATCTGTCATGTCTGCGTATAACTAACAGTCTCTCCCGCGAATCATATTGTTGTTGGTGTTCGTCTACCAAGAATCGCAGATAATTACCGCCATATCCGTCAGCCAGACAACCGCGACGTATAATAGGTTTATTTAATCCCGCCGTGCGAGCCGCGCAACCAATAAAGCGCCGCTGGGGAGCAACATGACAATCAATTTTGCACGGAAGACAAACGATCGATAAATCGTATGGGAACTAGACGTGGCGGCGGCAACGACGACGACGACGACGACGACGACGACGACGACGAAAAGCAGCCGCGAAAATACGAACAATAACGCGAGAGTATAAATCCGCATCTTGAGTTTCCTCCCTTCTAATAACAGTAATAATTCGCGCCCCAGTGATAAATTCCCGACAATCTTATCTCCGCGACACGAGATAAATTAACGCGTGTATCGCGCGCGGGCATTAACTTCTTAATAACGGTGATTCGCGATTACGATTGATTGCCGCGCTTCCGTGCAAAAGTGACGGAACGCGTAATTAACATCAACGAGCGAGACTCGTTAAATTGCAACGACACGTGTGTGTACTCCTCTTGTTAGTGTATCGGTAATTGTTATTATTATTATTAACTTTGTATCATTGTCGGTACATCATCTTTCTCGCTTTTTTTGCTCACACACACACGCGCGCGCGCGCAAAATTTACATGACAACGTTAAGTTAATTTTTTTAAACTAATATTTTTTATGCGTAAACAGTTGTTTGCAGAGTATTACTTGTTGCGGATTTATTTCCGCTTTGATTTTTAGACCGCCGGCATTTTTCTATTAAAAAATAGTGTATTTTTCTTCTCAAAAATTCGTGTATGTTAATAACATACACGTTATGTGGAATCTCGAGGTTTGCATGAAGCTCCGAAAGGGGCTTTTGCAGCGGGGAACGGAGGTCACGTGTGGAAAAAATTTTTTTTCTGAAAATTGCCATATTTTAGTTTTTCTGGTTGTTAATTTTGAGTGTAAATCTGTGAAATTTGGAACTTATGAGTAATACTGACGATATGACCGAGTATAAATATAGAGACTTCTATTGAAAAATAGCGCGGAATAAATGGAGAAAAATTTCTCATTTTTGCGCATTATTCAGTAGTTATATATATTATATATATATATATATATATATATATATATATATATATATATATATTTCACATATCCTATAAATTTTAATAACTTTATTTTCTTGTTAACGAAATTCGAACGGTAGAATTTGCGCACAGTATTTGACTCTCGTTTGCGCGCGCGCAGAGCGAAAGAAGCGAAATATTTTTCAAATGAATCTATGATTAACTAAAAAATATTACTATAATTGGTATTTATATAACAAATATAAATAAACACACGTGTTTACATATACATATATACAAAAGCGAATACCACTTACTGTATATTTACTACGTGTATATGTGTATTAATTAATATTTTTACGATCACTCGAACACCTTAGAAATATAGAAATATCAAAAGGGGTTTTTTGTGCGGCGGGGCCTAAAGGTTAACACGCACAAGATACATTGCGATTTTACTCCCTGGTAAATACTCACGTTCGATCGCGTGGCGGAATGTAATTTTATCCAATCTTGTTTGTCGCGTGGAAAACGCGCGTATAAGTTGAAAAATAGCAGGTGCGACGTGACATTAACCGCACCCGTTTGTGTGAGGATTGTGTGTGTATTTCGGAAATCACGAGTGTGTGAATTATATCGGGCATCAGTGTGGCACTCGTAAATCCAAAGCTACGAAACACGCCGGATGAATTATTAGCGCGATACGTGCCGATATCAGTATTTCCACAAATCTCCGCAGACCCACGCTACGTACAATTCACAATTTCCCTTTACCTTTACGCCCGATTCTTCCGTTCCGTTCCACGATGAATAACTCGGCATTGTCCTTCCAACATAAACGCTTTTGTAATACGTTTTCACGAGCGACAACACAGATCTATTGTGCAAGGGAAGTCGCGTTTTGTGATTCGCGTATCCCTTTCTATTCCCTCTGTTGAACACGCTTGTCCGATGTTTACATATATCAAGATTACGTCACGGTAGTGATCAAATATGTATATCTCGCTATATATTTTCAAGTTATTTTTATAACTAAGTAACTAAGTAACTACAGTTACTATATCGCTTCTGTGTAGTTAACTAAGTAACTACAGTTACTATATCGCTTCTGTGAAGATGTGACAGCTTTATGTGTTTGTGACACACATCTTTACCCAAGTAAATCCATCTATTTACTAATTAATTTATATTGATAAAGACCCAAATCAAGGGTCGAAACGTTTATACACACATATTCTTTAATAAACATTTTTCACCTTACACTTCAACATCAGTGTTTGCTTCAAACTGCCGTATCAACTTTACCTTATTTTAAATAATTTGGAGCATTTTATATTATCTAACATATTTATTTTTAATTGTTTTTCTTTTTAACATTATGGACCGGTTGTTCCACCTTTCGATAAATCTCAGCTTACTCGACAGGTTATTATCTATAAGGATAAGAAACTTGACTAGCGCATCTCTTCAACTGTTTTTTATTTCTACATATTTATCTGTTAGATACGACTTACACGGTACCGAGAGTGCCGTCTAATTTGTCTTTTGGTTTCTGATTATTTATCAGATATATAAATTTTACCGACACGTGGAACAACGCAAATCAGAGTTTTAACCATTAGATAGATTACCCGACAGTTTACCTGAAAGTGGAAAAAAACCGGCCCTATGTAAATTAAATATCGAAGCAAAGAGAGATTTGTTGAACAAAGACAATCGCTCAATTTAAATTAAGTTAGCCGCGTTTTAGAACTGATTCGCGCTCGATTTATCGATTATTTTCCCTGCGCTGTTTTTTTATCGCGACGAAAAGCTCCACGTCAGAATGCAAGCGTGTATATAACGAAAGAGTATCTTCTGTTTCTTTCAGATTGCTGAGACTTTACGAAGGCAGGCAATACAGAGAGGCGGCCGCCTTTCTGATGAAGCTGCCGCATTACACCCTGAAGGCCACACTGCCGGATATTCCGGTAGACCTGTTGATCGAAACGTTGCCGCACAGCCTCGCCCTGCTGGAGGCGCTCTATTCCCGACTGGTTGAACTGAACCTGAGCGACACGAAGATTCTGCGGATCGAGCAGGTACTCTGGAGGATAGTGCATCTGATATCGACCGGTCAGGACCATCCGCGGCCGCGTATCTGGTGCAAGCTGCTCGTGTCCCTGTACAGATTATCGCCCGGTACGAAAAACACGTTGCTATCGAGACGACGTGCCCTCGAGAGAGCCGTCGAGGGACTTGGCAAACACGGACTGGTGTCCTCCTCGCAGACGAGCAGCTCCGAGAACTCGATTACGCCGAATCTCGTGCCGTTGCCGGTGGCGCTGAAAGAAGAGCTCGAGACGCGAACGGAAACGTACAAATTGGCATTGCACAAAATCGAGAGCTTGGGCAAGCAAGCGGGTATTCACAAAGGTATATATATATATATATATACGCGCTTCGGTAATCGGTTAACAAAGATCGCGTTCGTCTGTTTGCCGCGTGTCTACAATTTCATCGCGCGAATTTTGCTGACAAAAGGGAATTTCTCGGTGATCTCGTGTGGTAGCATTGAAGAGAGTTCACAGCGTAACAAAAACAAAAATTTCAAAAGCACAAACGGGGGATCAATCAGTTGTTAAATGAATTGATTAATATCTGCATTACAAATTTAATAATAACAAATTTAAATTAACAAACGTTACATTAATTAAATGAAATTACTTTACTGGCAAATTAATTATGTAAATTAATAACGTTTTGCGCGAACTCTTTGTGTAGATAAAACAGTTTTTTTTTTTTTTCTTTTTTTCAAAAAAGCGTATAATTAGATGAGAATAAAACAAAGCTTTATCACTTTCCCATCGTCTTGCTGTCGATTTGTAATTTTTAATGTAACACAACCGATACGTACACAAACTGCCAGCAATCGTAAAACAAACAGTAGTTTAGCGAGTTAATCGAAAGCGGCAGAGGTTTTCAAAACATCGTACCTGTGCGCGCTTAATTGTCCGGCAAATGAGTGTTAATTACTACTACGCGGCGAGCGTGAAGCTTGACCGGCCGAGCGATATTTCCCGATTATACGCTATATTTCTCGCGAATCCCCGCTCGGATTTTCGTATGAAATTTCGGCATTATCGCGCGCGTCAAAATATTTCCGGGATAAAGCCGAGGCGCGCGGGGGATTTATTCCCGACAAAACAGTACGTTCATTCGACGCATTCGTGTGCAATTATCATCGACTGCGCACGGATGGGATTAGCGAGAGAGGAACCTCTCTCTCTTTCTCTCTCATTCTCTCGTTTAAAATCGGAAATAAAATTTCGCACGGTTCGTTCGTTTCGTTATAAACACATTCCGGAACGAATTCGAGAATTCACTTCGTTCTCTGACGCATGTATATGATAAACAGCCGCGCGCACCCAGACCAAAGTACTCTCGTATATATAAGTAAATAATAAAAAAGATAATCTTCCTTTCGAACATCGTCCGAACAATTTGAAACTGTCAATTTACATTTTATAGTTCTGCATCCCGGAAACGTTTTCAAAGCTGACCGTTGCGAATCGTTTGATTTTCAAAGTTGGAAAGTTTGCTACTTCTTCTCGAATAAGATAACAGTCGTGATTCTTGAGTATCACGGAGAAAAAGCGAACGTGTGCGTGTGTGTGTGTGTTTTCCGAGAGATCCGTCTAGTCCGGAATTTTATATGAGAAGACATTAGTAACGCCGAGTGTGCATCTGGGGCTCCGTGGAACCGTAAAGTATCGGATTTTAACGAGCTCTTTGCCGCGCGTGCGAATGCAAATGGACTGATGTCGGACACGCGTTAAGTCAATTTACACAGGAGACCGCGTCCACTCTCTCTCGTTCGCGGACCCGCGAGACTCATATCACCGGAAGATGTTCGAAGAGAAAGGTGCCAGATAGATGAAAAAAAAACGTGACGTGATCTCAAGTGAAAAAAAAAAAAAAAAAAAAAAAAAAAAAACGATAAATGCCATCCCGTAAATATCGACGTAACGCGCGGAGAAATATTACTTTCACAAGTTCGAAAACGTCTCTCGGTAACTTTTGCCTGAAACGCTATCGTGTTTCTTTTTTTTTATATATATATATCGATAAAAATCAAAATCATAAATTTCTTTCTCACTCGCATTAAAAAAAGTTGGTTCAGTCACTTCTCTCTGATTTTACCTCGTTTACTTTTCGAACTCCAATCCAACGAAATCTTCAACAATTTCGAAAGCAATTTTGCGCTTGACAAAATTTAAATCAACTCGATTAAATTATATAAATTTCTCGATAGCGACGTCTAAGACACAACGAGTTGAAGTTTTGTATTTTCAGTTGTCATTCGCTCGTTGAATATATACGTTAGAATTACTTCGATCATTAAAACCTTCTTTAGGTTTGTTAACTAAACTTCGCTCACAGTGACTTTCTTGTCATTATGTAAGTTCACTCGCTTGATTATACTTAGTCTAATTAACGACACGCTCTGAAGTTTGCTGGCAAACGGGGAACTGTTTCGCGGGGTTTACTTGTCGAATGAGAAAGAAGATTGCACCTCCGTGCGATTCGTATCTATTACGACACGTAACATGGGAAAAACAGCGCGCGGCGGTCGTACCGCGTATAAATTTTATTGGAGCGTGAACTCGCGGCGGCAATTTACGCCTCGCGCGCGCCGATAAACGCCGCGGCGATATACGCGCTCGTATTTGTAACTCGATCTCGTCTCTCTCGCTGTATAAAGGAAAGTGCCGGTGCGTGAATTTTTTTTCGCCGTGCGCGAAATGTCAGATACACGTCCTCCGATTTCGCACCCGCGATATCGTCGCGACGTTATCGCCTCGCGCCCGAGGCGGTCGTCGCGATATAAGCAATCCGACGCGGCGGAAACGCGCGACAATAATCGCTTCGCGCCATCGTCGGTTCCGCTCTGATAATGAAAAATAATAATAACACGCTCGAGGAGCGAGATAAGCGAGGGAAGAGCCTCCGATATTTTCTTACGGTTTTTGCAGCGGATCAAGGTGTACAGGCGGCATCGCATCAGCGTCAGCTTTCCCTCAAGTACAGCGAGATTCAGCAACGTCTGATCGACAATCAGAGTCTGCTCAACACCCTTGAGAAAGCGGGCGGACCGTGTCGCCTCGAGAATCTGCTCGCGGAACTGAAGCGCCGAGTCGAGCAGGACAAAGAGGCGCTGCGACAATGGACGGCCTTGCGGAAAACAACCTGCGGAACGACGAACGCGAAGAACCCGCCGCTCGCGGCCAGGCTGCTGCAGTTCTCGAGAGGTTGCGCCCTCGCACTGCAACTCATGAGCGAGGATAATCCTCAGGTAGGATCGAACGAAGGGAAGCGATGTTTCGAAATTTAATTTCCTCGTGAAATCGCGAGGAAAAGTTGTCTTTTTGTTTTTTTTTTTTTGTTTTTATTCTATTTCCGCGAAAGAGATCAAAAGTCGGACGAAAGATAAGTTTGTTATTGGAATCGGTTTTCGAAATGTGTTTGAAACAATTGGCTCGCGAAGTAGACGCGAGTAATTAAACGGTAAAGTATTTTTGGAGATATTACGGAGTGCGAATGATTGCACGATGGAATTATTGAAGATAAATAATGAAACAATACTTGTGTCGACAAAATTCCGCTCCAAGTGGGTCAGGGAACGAGCTCGATGTTTCTGACAATAGCGGTGCGGAGAAACCGCGCTAACTAATGCTATTTACTCGCGAAACAATTTGCGCAATCCGTCCCGGGCGCGAAAAACGCGAGGGAAAATAAGGGTTTGACATAGAAACTGCGACCGATTGGAACAATGGCGCGTTCGCGTGCAATTGCGGTTTTATTTTCCGTTTGCCTCTCTTCCCTCTCCCCTCATGAGAACATCTCCCTTCGCACAGTCGACCGCGATAATGAGAAGGTGAGAAACCTGTGCTACGCGCGCGCGCACGCGCGCGAGAGAGAGATAGAGAGAGAGAGAGAATATATATTTCTTGCGACCACGAAACGACACGCGCATACACTGCTGTTCCCGCGGGATTGCGGTTTGCGACACCGAGTCGCAGTTGATGCGCTCAGGCGATCCGCAGACGACGTCAAAGACGCCATGTGTAACCCACCGTGGAATCCCGTAAGGACCCTACGGCGATTCTAAATTATCTCGCTAAATTATCGCTCCCGCTTACACTCTCTCTCTATCGGCTAAGTTTCGACCGAAACATAAGTTGCGTGTAAATCGAGTAGAAACTGGTTCCCTTCTGCTTTGATAGTCTGAATATTGAACATCTTTCGACACCACGTTAAACTGTCTTGCAAATTCCAGAGAGACTGATCTTTAGAGATAAGTTAACGAGAAATACAAAATACACGACAGCTCAGAAAAGAGACTAAAAAGTTTTGATAAATTATTCTATTTTTGTTTCTCGCAAATATATCCCCCGTGCGACACGTTTGAGTTCGATATCTTTTCGGTAATTATGCAGATTAAGGGAGCCGCCACCGATTCGAATTATTTTTACATATGTTGTCAAGGTCATTGTCTCGAGTAATAATGTGAAGGTTTTTTAGGCGCGGGTCGTTGTTTGGGTAAAAAGTTACAATGGGAAGAAGTTTCATGAATGAATTCTTATTTTTTTGGCCCCACGTACATTTCGTTCGTGTTTCAAGCGTGTAGGCTTGCTCCCTCCTTCGTGTTTTGCGTGTGTGTATATTACCTTGTGTTTATATTGGAATATTTTTTCTGAATCCACTATTTAACGATAATAAATTATGTCTAAAACATACAGGTTTGGACAACGATGCTTCATTAAAAAAAACCTTTTGTTGGTAATTTCCCACGAAACGGACTTTTTAGGACACAACAGTATCAAAGCGTATAAACAAACGCTAACATATGTAAAAATAATTCAAATCGGAGGTAGCTCCCCTAATCTGCATAATTAATTTTTTTCGAATCGGCTGCAAGTTATTTCATTTGCGAATCTTAAATTAAAAATCAGATTTTTTTCTTTTTCATATTTTTGTTTTTTAAATTTATGCTTCAATGTAATGTAAATAAAATTGACTTCTTTCATGTAGAAAATGTTTTAGTAAATTATTGTTTGTTTTTTTCGTGTATTTTCTCTCTCTCTCTCTCTCTCTCTCTCTCTCTTGCGATCGATTCGCAAAACAGATTAAAAAACACGAAGCAAAACTGCAGTAATTGCGTATAATACATTGTTTTTTGCAAAAACAACATGTGAATAAAATTTACGCCTTCGTGAAATTTTTTTTGAGAAACCGCGCGTTACTCGACGTTAATCTCGCATTAAATCCGCACGTGATTAACAAACGCGACGCGATTGATTGATTGAACGCATTGAATCTATCAATCCGAGCAAACCATAGATTCGAACAAATGTGGTGACGAATGGCGCGATGGTGTACACACTCTCGTGTTTGTATTCGCGCGCGAATTGTTTATATCGCGCGGATAAATTATTTCTATGAATGTATGGCGACTCGCAACACATCCTATTTGATTCGGCTATCAAAACCGTTGAAACTTTAATCGGGATAATATGTTGTTATATAATATATACATATATACATATATATATATATATACACAAGTATATCGTTTTGATAAAACAGTTTATTTCTTGTTATTAGTGCGCAATAATTATCGTGGTTTGTTAATGCAAGCTGTTAATGAATTAATGATAATTTTCACCTCTTGTAGTAGCGGGAAAACGTAGCGACGGGAACGCGCATCGCGCAAAACGTTACGAGCAGAGCGCGAGCGTGTGAGAGAATTAGAATAATTTTGTAATTAAATAAATAAAAACGCTCGGGTTAATTAAAGCGCTGGAAATTCCTCCGGTAAAATTCGCACGGTTTCCGTAATTTATGAGCGAGAGCACGTGATCACATATGTGTGTGTGTGTGTATGGGTCAGTTGTATGCGCGCGCGCGCGCGCGTAAGTCTCGGATAATGTTGGCACCGTCGATTTTACGCGAACTACAATATTCATGGGCGGAACGTTTTCAGAACAGACGTTCTCGCGAAACACGCGCGTAATTAATAACGCGAAGCGTTAATACGCGCGCTACGATTAATATTAGCGAATATTAATATATCGCGGTTGCGTGACTTGTCGTTGTGAGAACGACGACGCACATACGAGGGAATTATTTTACGTTGAATTCCCGACCCGCACTCGAGCGCGTCATCGAGAGAGTTTTGCGGTGCGATAAAAATTTCAAATTGAATCCGTGTCGTCGTCGTCGGCGCCGCCGCGGCCGGTTGTAACGTTCGGTTTTTACTGCGTTTTGAAAAAAAACACGGCTGATCGCGCAATATGCACAATTTGTCGCGGTTTTCGCATATGGGGAAAATAGCAATTTCTGTCTCTCGTTGTGCGCACGAAACGGCGAAATTACTTTATTTGTGCATTACCTTTTCTTTTCTCTCTCTCTCTCTCTCTTTGTGCTTCTTTCTTTCTTTGTGAAAGAGAAGCGATGAAACACGAGGTTCGCTTTTGATGGCGAAAATAATCACGTTTAGATTTCGCACGATGGAACTCGACGCGAGCGCAAAAAACGGGGAGGGAAGCGTTCGTTTGAAATGTTCTGCGGTAAACGTATCTTGGACAAACACTTGGTGTTTTCGGTCTCTCGCGAATTTTTTACACGAAATTGATTGGAGATTCGCGGCGAATCCCGTTATCGCGTTAAACGAGGCTTCTCTCGATAGTGAACGAACACAAATCGAACGCGGTCTTTTTAGAAGCTTGTTTACATCGACGTGCCTAATTGAAAAAATAAACTAAGTGTATAATTATCTCTCTCGTGATAATCAGGTTTTCGGATAACAAAAACAACTGGCGTGAGCGTAAAAGAGGCGGAAAGTGGCATCTAAATTGTAATATACACAGTTTGTCCGGAAAGTTCCCGGACTACGTGAATTAAAAATCGAAAATGAAAGATATGGTTTATTAAACAAGTTTACACTTCAAGGT